TACTCAGAAAACTTTCGAAAAGGTCTTTTTCTGTTCTTTTCACCCTTTCCTTTGTTAGATAAAAGAAAAGACAGTGGAGACTCTTACTTACGGCAATATTTGCGAATAAAAAATGCAAAACCAGTATTAAACCGTCGGTTCTGCCACCGTATCACACCAACTCTGGTCTTTCTGAAAGCCCAATCCATTTGACATATCACCATAAGAGTTTAAATCCTACAAATACTTATGGTATTCCCAGCGGGTTCCCACTAATTTGTAATGGTTGGAATTGTATAATTGTCATTCCTGAAGAACAACACCTCGCTTTGGTCAAAGGGATTCTGTAGTTCTGTGGCCTTGTGCAGATAACCAAACTCAATTGCTTCTTACCTTTTTTAAGTTCCTAATGCCGTTTTCATCGATCATTGTCTGTTTTCATACTTGCCTTTTGCAATTCTTCCTTACCTTTTTTTGGAGAATATGTTGTCTTTTCACTTACCTTTTGTAAGTCGGTCCCCTTACTTCCTTTTGCATAAGAGTTGTCTCTTGCCTTTCACAAGTATTTCTCACCTTTTGCTTGGAAATTTCTCTCATTTGCTTACCTTTTGTAAGTTACCCATGTCTTTTGCATTGGTCGTGTCAATTCTCATACTTTCCTTTTGCGAGTTCTCCCGACCTTTTGCATGGGATCTTCCTTTAATGCTTCTATTGTCTTGATGTTACTTGCCTTTTTCATGTCTTCCTTAACTTTTGTTTGGAAAATGCCTTGTCTCTTCGACTTACCTTTTCTAAGTGTTCTCTACCTTTCGTTAAGAAGATTTTCATCTTTTCTTCCAACCTTTTATTGTAAAGTTTCCTCATCACCTTGCGCATGTGGAGTCATATGTTCTCTTAACCTTTCATTAAGAAGATTTCCATATTTCCTTCCAAACTTTTATTATGAAGTCTCTCGTCGCCTTTTAAATGAGATGTCCATATTTTCTTCCAACCTTTTGTTGTGAAGTATCTCATCACCTTTTGCTTTGAGATATCTATCCTTTCTCCCAACTTTTTGTTGTGAAGTCTCTCATCTCCTTTTGCATGAGATTTTCATATTTTATTCCAACCTTTTTTTGTGAAATCTCTCTTCGCCTTTTGCTTTGAGATATCCATCTTTTCTTTCAACCTTTTGTTGCAAAGTCTCTCATCGCCTTTTGCATGAGATGTTCATCTTCTCTTTCAACCTTTTTTTGCGAAATCTCTCATCGCCTTTTTCTTTGAGATATTCATTTTTTCTTCCAACCTTTTGTCGTGAAGTCTCTTGTCGCCTTTTGTATGAGATGTCCATCTTTTCTTCCAACCTTTTGTTGCAAAGTCTCTCATCACCTTTTGCATGAGATGTCCATATTGTCTCCTAACCTTTTGTTGCAAAGTTCCTCCTCGCCTTTTGTGTGTGGATTCATCTGTCTCATTAACCTTTTGTTAAGAAAATTTCTATCTTTCTTCTTATCCTTTTCATAAGAGGTTCCACATTGCCTTTTGCATACATATTTATGTTTTTTGACCAATCATCTTCCTAGAAAAGAAGATTCTTGAGAAACTTTTCAGTCTATCCTTTTTCTTATTCTTTTGGTAAGAAGGTTTCGCATAGCCTTCTGCTCGAGAAGTTTTATTTCTCAGCCAAGTGTCTGGTTTCTTTCCTATCTGTGGTAGGAATTCTGTTGAGATTTCATCCTAGTGCATCCACCAATAGCCCATCCAAAAGAAAATTATTATTATTATTATTATTATTATTATTATTATTATTATTATTATTATTATTATTATTATTATTATTATTATTATTATTATTATTATTATTATTATTATTATTAATATTTTTATTATTATTATTATTATTAATATTTTTATTATTATTATTATTATTGTTATTATTATTATTGTTGTTATTATTATTGTTATTATTATTATTGTTGTTGTTATTATTATTATTATTGTTATTATTATTATTATTGTTATTATTATTATTATTATTATTATTATTATTATTATTATCACTTTCAATAAAAAAATTATAGTAATAAAGTTGAATAAGAAAACAGAATCAAGTTCATGGATATAGGGATGGACCGAAAATTTCTAATTCTAAGGTCCATCATCATATTTTTGGTAGTTCTTAGATCATGCACAAATAATGCTTATTGGATTCATTCTTGTTGGGTCTGGTGCCTTTTTGATTTTTGCTTGCAGCATATTCTAGATTCGGCTTGCACCGCCTAAAGTCTCGTTTTCTATATTTGTTTCAATTTTATTTTCAGTGGAATTGGGTGTGATATTATAGAACAAAAGAGACTCGAGTAAGTAGTTTCAAGAAGTTTGGAAGCTAGCTCAGAGTCTAAGTTTCATCAAGGAAATTCAAGAAGATTTTCGATAGAGTTTTGTTATCGCTTGTGTGGCTTTGAAGAGGCAACTAACTTTTTCCATTAGGTACCACTTTGATCTCTTTTATCTCTTTTTCATTCATCTTTATATGAAGTCCTGGAGGTATCCAGGCATTGGCGTTAGACGCAAATGTGTTTGGTAGGTTTGTAAGCCATCTTTTTGTTGTTTACATTCTTGTTTTTGCCTTTGTATTCTCTCTATAGAATTTTATTGCTTTCTTTTTATTATTGTTGTATCGATGAGTCACTCAATTAGAATTGAGATCACGACTTTACTCTTATTGCATGTTCCTTTAGGATTTATATGCTTACCCTTAGGTCTATCTTTGTATGCTAACACTAGGTAGCTTTGTCCTCTGTTAATCCTAACTTTAGGACCACCATTGCATGATAAAATTAAGATCTTTAGTCTCCCTTAGAGTTTTTCATTCCCGTTTTTCATCCATTAAGATTAAAACTCTTCTTTCTTAATCAAATGCCAAAAATACTTAACAATAACGACGCGAACCATGTGGCACGAGTCTTAAGTATTGGGGAAAGTATGAGAGAGTGCATTTCCAACCATGTGTTTCCTTTCAATCATAGTCTTTAATGTGGTTCAAATCACCAAATTCTTTTTCAAGGTAAAAATTACTAAACCAATTCAAACTTTTTGCCTTCGGGTTGCCTTCGTGCCTTTTCCTTTCTTTTCAAGTAAGAACATGTTAATTATTTTCTACGATAACGCGTGAGTCTCTAAAGGTTGAACTGCAGTAGAATGAGAAATTAGCATCGTTCATTAAAAAATACAAACAAATAAAAAATTTTGAGCCGAACTGCGGCTCTCTGATTCTTTAAAAGGGATACATAGGCATTAGGTTACAGGGCCTAAGGGAGCACAACTATTTAAAAACTATGTTTTCCCTGTATTTTTTCTTTTTCATTCATACATTCCTTTAGCTTGTAAGTTTAGATATCACACACCCTCTGGTTAGAACAACAAGAATGGATCCCGTAGATGACCACGGACGTGAGGGGTGCTAATATCTTCCCCTTGCATAATCGACTCCCATATCCTTCTCTTGATCGTAAGACCTTGTTTTCTCTAAGATTTACTCAATGTTTTCTTTTCTTTTTTATGAGATAAATAACATTCGATGGCGACTTCATTGTTCATTTTCTTAGTTGCTTCAGTATGTTGTGAGGGTAGTCCTTGCAAAAAATAAGCTCAAAATTCAATCATAGGCCATAATGTGCATTGTTTCCGTTTCATAGAAAATCAATGCTTAAAAATTCATGTTAAATTCATCTCACATTAAAAAGAATTCCGATTTTTATGGGATAGATTCTGTGATAAATTTATATGAAAAAATCATGAAAGGATGAAAAAAATTGAAAAATGTGCTTGAATTAGTAGCAAATTTAGAGATTGAATATGTTGCGGATTAACTTCCATTTAAGATTTTAAATATGTTGTTGATCTTATCCATGTGATCTGCCATGTCAAATGTCAATATCTTTGTTACGATGACATTTTCCATTCACCAAAACTCATCCATATGACATGCTACTTTGACTTATGTTAAATAGAGACCAAAATCATAGATAAAAAATATTAACAGAACGATTATTCAAACTAAAACTGAATGTTAGTACATTTAGGGGGCCAATAACATATTTCACCCTATTATCAATAATATAAAAATAACATAATTTGTTATCAATTAACAAACATTCAAAAAATATAAATAACTTAGTGTATGTTTGGTTCCACTTCTACAAAATCTTGAATCATTCTAGATATGTAGAATTGATTTTGGGTGATTTTAAAGTGTTTGATATGTTAAAAGTAGAATTAATTTTGTCTCTAGAATTGATTTTACTTGAAGTTGGAATTTATAGCTTCTACTTCTATAATTAATTTTGAATGATTTTCACATTGAAATTTATTGTTCAACTCACTAAAAATGTATCCAAACATAAATAAATTATACTAAACTCAATTATGTTAAAATTAATTCTACAAGACAAAATTCTACTAGAATCAATTCTTCCACCGCCACTCCAAACATATATATATATATATATATATATATATATATATATATATATATATATATATATATATATATATATATATATATATATATATATATATATATATATATATAATTATTAGAAATATTAGATGAAATCTAAAGTGTGTGAGTGAAATAATAATAATTGATCACTCCCCTTATTTTCATTAAAAATATAAAAATCAATGTAATATTAACATTTTATGATAAATCTCATAAATATATAATTTTATAAATTGTTTTGATATATAAATGAGGGAAGGTAATTTGGCTAGCCAACAAACAGTCTAAAATTGTCAATGGGTGCATGGTTTAAAAGAGCAAAAGTCTCTGTTTTTTCGCGCCTCCTTTCATCCTTTCCTTATTTTTCCACCGAAATAGAGACAATTCTCACTCTCTCGTCTTTGTATCAACCATTTCTCATTCTTTTCTTCTTTTTTCTTCTCCTTTCTTGTACACAAACCCTTCACAACGTTTGGGTTTGTGTACCCTCACAACATATTATATACCTTGAAAACCATTTCTTCTTCTAAACGTGAAAATGTTTGGGTTTCGAAAACCACCACCAAGTACAACTTCCGGTTCAGACATGGAACCCGATAAGAACACAACCCTTACTCCAGCTAGACGAACTTCTTCAGAACCCGTCCTAGTGCCTAAGTCAAAAGGAAACTATTTCGACGAGGATGATGATGACGATTGGGGAAGAAAGCCTACCTCAACCGCCACGTCTACGGCTTCAAAAGCCAAATATAAAACCGGTTTTAAGGATTCTGGAGGGCTAGAGAATCAAAGTGTTCAAGAGCTAGAGAATTATGCAGTGTACAAATCTGAGGAGACAACAGATAGTGTTAATAATTGTTTGAGGATTGCTGAGGATATTAGAGGCGATGCTACAAGAACTCTTGACATGTTGCACCAACAAGGTGACCAGATTACAAGGACTCATAATATGGTGGTTGATACTGAGAAGGATTTAAATAAGGTATATCTGTATTTTGATACATTTAATATTGTTTTGTCGCGACCGATTTTGCACGTACATATCGTTTTTTAAAATCCGTATAATATAATCCAAAAAATTAACATTTTAATTGTCATAGGGCGAAAAACTCCTAAATAGTCTTGGGGGTATGTTCTCTATGCCATGGAAACCAAAGAAGGGCAAGACAATCACAGGCCCTGTAATTACATCAGGTTTTCTTCTTAAATTTATGCTTATGAATTATAAACATTTTACTTTTTGTTTTTAGAAACTAAATCATGCATGTACTAATATTATAATTGAATTTGATGCATCATCAGATAAGTCATCCAAAAAGAATGTAAAAAATAAGGAAGATAGAGAAAAGTTGGGATTAGCTCCTTTGCCAAAGGGACGTTCTGCACCAACCACACCTCCTAATGAATCAGCCAATGCCTATCAGAAAGTCGATGTATGTGTTTTTGTTTTGTTCTGTACTAGGTTACTTATTAATACATGTATGAAATATTATTCTCTTAAATGAATTAACATTTTCATTAGATTAACATGTATCTTATGTTACTATTACAGTATGAAAAAGCTAAACAAGATGATGCACTCTCTGATCTTAGTGACATCTTGGGTGATTTGAAGGGTATGGCAGTTAGTATGGGAACTGAGTTAGACAGGTAAATATCTTTGTATAATTTAATAACAATAATAATATTATTAATGATAATAATAATAATAATAATAATAATAATAATAATAATAATAATAATAATAATAATAATAATAATAATAATAATAATATTAATGTTACATTTTTTTGATAATTTTGCAGCCAAAACAAAGCACTTGATTATCTTAGTGACGATGTTGATGAACTCAACTCTCGAGTAAAAGGCGCAAATCAACGTGCCCGCAAATTAGTAGGGAAATGAGACAGATGATAGGCTGAAAGGGTTGTTCTTTTGAATTTGTGTACATTTTTTTTCTTCTTTCATTGTTATGGTGCTTTCACTTATTGGTTGTGATTTTCATTTATTTTTCTTTGAAGTTTTCACTTTTCTATTTTGCTGAGAGCACTTAACAAATGATTGATATTTTTTTTTTCTGTTTGAAGTTGTTCAATGTTTTAGAACTACTTTTAGAGCACTAGTAAAAGAAGACGGATTTTGAGAACAAATATATAATAATTTTTTTTTGTCCAAAAAAATATAATAGTAATATTTAATTAGGGTGAATATTATACCAAAATGATTGTACTACACAGTTAATTTTTAATCAATATTTACGTATCTACTTTACTTTTCTTTGTAATTCACATAACAATTAAGATTTCAAGAAGAGTTTAAAAGAGATGCTATTAAAAAATTGTCATCCAATAGAAATATATATTTTTTTGTCATATGTAAATTTTTAAAAAATTATAATCTGACTTGATGAGATTCATGATTGTAATTAGTTGATAGTATAAATTTTTTTTATACTGTCAATGCATTCATTAATACAAAAAAACAATATAATTTTAAAATTTACATCTAATACTAAAAATAAGTGTAAATAAAAAATACAATCTTAATTTTATAAATAAAGTGTTATTTTAAGTATTAATACGTAATAATTTATATCCTATTTTTTAAAAACAAATACAAATTAAAAATGTTATTATAATCAAATTTTAATTATTATTGTTAAATTTAAAACGAAAATAAATTTAAATAGACTAAAAGAAATTTATTTTTATAATTCAAAATATTAATCTACACACATTTATATATCACAATCTATTTTATTAAATCTTAATTATCTATTTAATTGAGTGTAAATTTATTAAGTTTTATTTTTTCAAACCGTAAAAAAATGGGAAAAGTGCTCATTAAGAAATTGCTGCGCATAAGCTTCTTGAAAAATGAGAAAAATACTTATTTCGGACGCGCTTTTTTCTTCTCAAGCGGAACAGATTTTGTTCAAGCCGTAAAAAATGGAAACAAGAACAAAATGGAAAACGTGAAACGCAGCATGTTCACACGTGGAAAAGGGCTTATCGTGAAAAGAAGAAAAACGCCCAAAACGTGCTTATTTTCGGAATTGATTCTGAATAGCTTTTGCAAACGTGTTTTCATTGTTCAGGTTTGGTTTGACTTTGAAATTGGTTTGGAGCTTGGTTCTGCTCTTTTTCGGAATGGTTTAGGTCACATTTGATTTTTATGGCAAGCTTCTACACAATTTCGAATTATGCTAATAATTGGTTCTGAGCTGTTTTGGTATGAATTTTTGTTCGACTTAAATACACAACAACCACACAACACTATAATAATAAATTGGATGAGAATTTGATATTGCTCGCAAGATGTTGGGTAGAATGCCTCAGCTTCTTCTTCGCTTCTTTTTGTTAAATGTAACAAGAACAGAATATAAGCTTTTGGGAATGACGGTTATTCATAGTAACAAAAGCAACCTATAGGCCACGTACTAGCTAAATTTTAGGAAACAAATTTGACTATAAAAACTTGACTAAATCAACTAATAGAAGTGCTATAAACCAGGACACTAATTTCACTAAGCCTTATCATTTCCTCCCTTGAACTAGACTGCATTTGCAGCTAGTTCCAAGCTTCCATCTCAGCTCTCGAAATGACTCTAATTTCAACGGTTTGGTGAGGATGTCCGCTAACTGATGCCTTGTACCACAAAACTGAAGTTGCACAACTCCATCATTCACAAGCTCCCTTAAGAAATGGTAGCGCACATCAATGTGCTTGCTCTTGCCATGCATCACTGGGTTCTTCGACAATTTAATGGTTGGGCAATTGTCACAATAGATGACAATACTTTCACTGCCCTTGTAGCCTATCTTCTTCAGCACCCTTTGCATCCATATTGCCTGACAACTACTTCCTGCAGCTGCTACAAATTCGGCTTCTGTCGTGCTCAACGTTACTATCGGTTGCTTTCGAGAACATCAAGCTACTGCAGCTCCACTTAGCATAAAAACATAACCCGAAGTACTTCTTCTATCCTCCACCGATCCAGTATAATCACTATCCGTAAAGCCAATCAATTCCGAGTTTCCTTCTGTTTTGTAAAGAATGCCAAACTTTGTTGTACCTTGCAAGTAATGTAGAATTCTCTTTGCCGCCGAATGATGAACTTCTGTAGGCCTTGACATATACCTGCTTAATAAGCTAACCGCATACATTATGTCCGACCTCGTAGCAACCAAGTACATCAAGCTTCCAATCAGCTGCTTGAAAAATGAACCATCCATCTCAACACCATTTTCATCTTTGGAGATTTTAAATCCTGGAACCATTGGATTTTCAACATAATTGCTATGCTCCATTCCAAATCTTCTTAGCACTTCTATCACATACTTTGTTTGACTGATGAATATACCGCCATCAAACTGAACTACCTCAATACCAAGAAAATACCTCATCTTACTCAAGTCCGACATATCAAATTCCTTCATCATGGACTCTTTGAATTCAAACATCATTTTTTTCATCATCTCCGGTATAAATTAAATCATCAACATACAAGCTAATGATTAAATATTTACCTTGTTTGACTTTGGTAAACAAAGTTTGCTCACTATCATCCTTCTCAAAACCTTCCTTCCTGAAGTATGATTCAATTCGACTGAACCATGCTCGCGGTGCCTGCTTGAGTCCGTACAAAGCTTTGTTGAGCTTATATACCATATGCTCCTCATTCTTTATTTCATAACCCCTTGGCTGCTCCACATACACATTCTAAGCTAACTTCCCATGAAGAAAGGCTGACTTCACATCCAGCTGAAACACACACCAACCTCTTTGTGCAGCAGGTGCCAAAATCATTCAAACCGTGTCCATACGAGCTACAGGAGTGTATACTTCTTCATAATCAACTCCGTATTCTTGAGCATACCCTTTGGAGACCAAGCGAGCCTTGTATTTTTCTACTTCTCCAAGCTCGTTCAACTTTGTTTTGTATACCCATTTGACTCCTATTTTTTTGCTCCTTTTGGCAGCTCTCTAAGATCACATGTTGCATTCTTCTCAACTGATCTCATTTTTGCATCCATGGCCGCCCTCCATTTCTCCTCCTTTATTGCTTCGTCAAATGAAGTAGGATCAGAACGAACAACATGAGAAAACAAGACTAAGTGAGTTTGTACCTCTTCCTCTTCATCAGAAAGACCATCACCAGATACATAGTCATTCATCCACCTTGGAGCTCATCTATTCCGGGGCTCTGTCAATGGAGAAACTGCATTTTCTTCTTCATTACTATCAGCTGCATTTTCTCCATTTTCTTCTTCATTACCATCAGCTGTATTTTCTTCTTCATTGCCATCACTTGATTCCTCACTTTCTTCACTTTTCTCATTTTCCCATTCCAAATCAAACGTGTTATCTTCATCAGATTTTTTCTCCCAATTCCACTGCCCGTCTTCTTCAAAGACGACATCGCGACTGATAATGATCCTCTTATAGGTAGGATCATATAGTCGATATGCCTTTGATTCTGCACTTACACCAAAAAAGACACAACAATGACTCTTATCTTCAAGTTTTATTCGTCGAACATCCGATACGTGAGCATATGCTATACAACCAAAGACTCTCAAGTTCCTAACTGAAGGTGTCACCCCACACCAAGCTTCCTCTGGTGTCGTTTCCTTCACCGATGATGTTGAACATCTATTGAGAACATAGAATTCCCAGTTTACCGCCTCTGCCCATAATTTTCTTGGAACATTTTTCTCAACCAATAAGCTCCTCACCATATTCATCACGATTCTACTTTTCCGCTCGGCGACTCCGTTATGTTGCGGTGTATATGCAACAATTAATTGCCTCCTTATTCCATTCATTTTACAATATTCCTTGAACTCATCTGATGTGAATTCACCTCCACAATCTATTCTTAAACATTTAATGGACATACCCGTTTCTTTTTCAACAAGAGCTTTAAATAGCTTAAAGATAGTGAGTGCATCTGACTTACAAGCGAGAAAATACACCCACACCTTCCTACTGTAGTCATCAATGAAGCAAATGAAATACCTCTTGTTTCCCTCCGAAAATGGAGAAATCGGGCCGCAAATATCAGCATGAACAAGTTCTAATTTTTCCAACGCTCTCCATGTACTTCTCCTTGGGATTACATCTTGATGCTGCTTCCCTTTCAAGAAATTTGTGCACAAAATTTCACCCTCCGAGAAACTTGGTAAGCCTCTCACCATGCTTTTTGTTTGCAAAGTCTTCCCCTTTGTAGCTGAGATGACCAAATCTTCAGTGCCAGAGGTGAGCCACGTCTTTGGTGTCGTCGGTCGTTACTTAGAAACACTCTTCTTTGCTTTCACTTTTGATTGACTTAGTGCTCAAAAGCAACACAAACATTAAATTTGCTGCCATGTTGGTTTGGAATACCAAACCCTTTGTGTGGTGATAAATCCGACACTCATTTGAATGCATTAGTACAGCCAAACCCCTTTCTTGTAGTTGTCTAACACTGAGGAGATTATTCTTCAAACCGGGAACATAGTAGACATCCCGTACAAGGTGGTTTACTCCTTTTATTGTCAAAGGAACACTTCCTTTTCCAGAAACGTTCATGCTTGCATAATTCCCCAATCTAACCACCTTGTTGAACCCTTCTTCTAACTCACAAAAAAGTGAAGAATCAATACACATGTGATTGCTGCACCCAGAATCAATATACCACATAACATCTCGATCGTCTCCAAGCGTGTCGACATACGCCATTAGCATCATCTCTTCCGATTCCTCCAAACCAGCATAATTTTCTTGGCACTCGTACTGGAAGTGTCCAAGCTTATGACATTTGTAACACTCAACTGTTTCTTTACTCCTCAGTTGGCTGCCCCTTCCTCTGCCTTGTCCCCAACCTCCTCTAAAAGTATCTCTTCCTCGCCCTCTTCCACCAT